TCGCATTTGCTTCAGCCACTTGATGTTGCGGTTTTCGGTCCATTGAAAAAACGGCTCACCGCAGCACTTTCTGATTTGAATCAAGCTCAACTTGTACGAATACAAAAGATTGAATGGATGGAGGCATATATTAAAGCTCGAGCCGACGTATGCCATCATCAAAATATCGAATCGGCATGGCGGGGAGCTGGGTTACATCCATTTAATCCACAGAGAGTGTTCCGTACACTGGGTCGAGAGTTTACCCCCGAAGTCGAAATATCCAAAGAACCAACCCAATTTGATATTTTTAACCAAGTCTTCGTCAATAGCTCACCCCCGGATGTAGCAATCTTACAAACAGCAAATAACCTTTTAAATTCAACAATTGAAAATGATACGACTCTTTCAACCCCGGTTCGTCAATACATTCGAAAATTGACGATTGGGAGTGAGCAACTTCGAGCTCAAAGTATTGTTCACCAACACGATGCGAATAATTTACGAGCTATTATGAAGAAACGTACGATACGTAAGAAAGGAAAGAGACTAGTTTTGAAGGGTCATTTTCATATTTCTACGCAAGAATTATGTGATGCAGTAGTGGAAGTCGAAAAAGCTACTAAGGTACAGACAATGAAAAAAGGAAAAGGGAAAGGGAAAGTAATTGAATATGAAACTGAAACTGAAGAGGATATTGGAGAAGAAGTTGAAGATGAATCTGAAAGTGATACTGGAGATTGTATTATAGTTGATTGTTGAGTAATTGAGATTTTAATAGAGTGGTTCCCCGCAATTAGACGCATTACGCCATGACTTACGTTAAGCTGAAAATGACAACAACTCATCGCCAGTAGCGACTCATAGGGAAAGACGATAATATTGAACAGTCTACAGCGTCACTTAATTTTCTATTCTTCACCAAGAATCCTGATACTTCTCAGTCAAGCAATGTCAATCAGGGCTGCGAAATATGGTTCTAACCGAAAGAAAGATGAACTCCTTAGAGCCCATGCGTCATCTACCCCGTAGGATCTGTATGCTTTGTTGACGTCCCGATTACACCACTCTTTTGTACCTGTAGAAACTCTTTCAAAATACTTTTTACCGACCATTTTGCAGACCATATACAAATCCACCTCACTCCATCTTTCCCACTCAACAACCCCTCCACACCAACTACATACCCTCATAACCAGCAAAACCATGCAAGCTAGTGAATCCACTGCTAGTATCTACACTTGAGTGATCTTGTGTTCTCTATGCTTTTTTTTAAATAGGCTCATAAGATCCTCAATCAAGACACGAACATTTCCCAAACAACACAAATTGCTCCAGATCATGGAATGTGACTAACGATCTCCGTTTCGCTTTATCACCATGAACGTAGTGGTTTAGCCGCTTTTTGGTCTCAGGGGAAACTCTGCTTAGTGTTGTTCAAAAATTGCCAGACGGCAGTATGGGGGAAAACAGCAATAAGAATAACAAAATAACAACGATACAAGCACATGGCAGCAACAATCCTCGGACATCCGATGGTCGAGTGATCTCCGGACCTACGTACCAGAACCAGTGCAAAACTTTGCACCATCCTACAATTATGGGACAGGCCATGTGACGTATGGTGCGCGACTGTTTTCCGTTCATTTTTCAACCTACAGAAGAAGCTATAAATATTTATAGAGACGAGGGAATTTGTGTAGTATTCGAATATCCTAGTTCCGGGAGTGGAAACTAAGAGCGGGAATAAGTGTGCGGAACTTTGGCAATGACCCCGAGCAGATAAGAGCATGCTATACATCGGATGGTAGCCACTGCAGACGAGAGAGTTCGCTTCGTTGAGCATAAGGGTTAAGCATATCAATGAATGCATCACTAAGAAAAGGATCAATGGATGATCTCGAGATTTTGCTACGTAATACTAGATCAGACATAACACCCCGGTTGGGAGGCCGTGTAATTGTATTCAGTTCAAAACCTCCTACCACTGAAGAACCAATCCTTCCTAGCTCGCCCCTCTCGCCACGACGTATGGGCTTGCACTCACGCTCGTAATTTATGTTTCCCCTACACATAATATCATCCCTATGAGCTTCAGACCGAAATTGGACAAGCCGAGGATAGACCCAAGTGCTATTTTGGATGTTATCCTTGGGCTTTTGTATCCTTTCAAGGCACTTTGAATGAAACTTTCAATGACGCATGGAATTCTGGTACTTCTGATAATGGCTCATATTCTTGACAGATTGCCGAACCATTGCTAATTACTTTTCGAGAATTTGCTGAACCATCATTTTAAATCAAGAGAATCTCACTTAGGGGTTGTTCCTGCAGGTGTGACTGGAGTTGATTTCGAAGAATCAGCGGCTGTAGAAGATTTTGGAGAGTCCGCGACTGGAATATCCACGCGAACTCTCCCACCTCCGTTTCTACCACCCCTCCTTCCCATTGTTCCGCCTCTACCACCGCGCGGAGCGGGATTAGCAGGTGACGGAGCAGGTGCTCTTGGGGCAGGACCAGCACGTGGTACAGGATTTGCAGTATTCCCCTTTCGTGGCATAACGTGAACGGTGCCTTGAGCCACGGAGACTGGATTCGCAGCCATTGCCTTCTTTAAACCTTCTGCATCTTCAAAATCGGCATATGCAAAGCCTTTCTTTTTATCTATTTCAACCATAGAGACTTTGCCGAATTTCTCTAGTGCTTCTTTTAACAATGGTTCTGTCACACCTTGAGACGGATTGGCATGTTTGATGAAAGCTTGTCGGGAAACTTTGGATGAAACATCCACCTGAGCTTTTGACCCTCGATTTGAAGTAGCCTGTTGAGGTGGTATCGTAGCTGAAGCAGCTGGAGTAACTTTTGGAGTTGATTTTGGTTGAACTTGGGGAGTAGATGAAAGCTGAGAAGTGGCGGTACTTGGTCGTTGCTGGGGTCTCTGATTATCGGGCTTTCTTAGCAAAACCATAGGTGTAGTTGGGGCAGAAGTAGTGGTAGTTGATGGCTTATTGGTAGACGACTCGGTGTTGTGATTTTGATTACCTCTCCTGGATCTTCGGCTACCCGATTGAGCGCTTGGCTGGGCAGGAGGAACTTTTGGTCCTGTAGGCGTTGTAGGAGTAGCTGGGGAAGATGCGCTATTGTTAGAAGTTGTGGTAGGCTTTTCAGTAGACTCCGCCTTTACTGCACTAGCTGTATCGCGTTTGATACGACGATGCGCCTGTGAGGGATTGAGTCCGAGATCACGCCGAAGCATACGAACATGAGCAGCGACCACAGCTTGTCTTTCATTTGCCGGAATTTTAGAAGTATCAAGCTTAGGTACATTCTTTTCGATGCTACTTGGAGCTGAGACAGAGGCTGCCGATGAGCTTGACGTAGCTGCTGTTCTCTTGCCAGTTTCTCTGTTCAAAATCTTGACAGCTTCTTGTGGGGCCGCACCTTTGTCGGATTTGGAATCTTTATTAGACTTCTTGCCATCACCCGCAGAATTCGATCCTTCACTTGTCTTGGACTTTGAAGTTTCCTGTTTCTTTGCTGCTTTGGCTGCTGATTCCTTCGTCTTATTGGCCTTCTTGTCTTTCAAAAATTGAACCAAGGGAGTTACTGTGACCTTCTCGGCCTTTCCTGTTGGGGGATCTTCGCCCTCTGCGCCAACTTCCTTTGTAGTAACTGGATTAGCCAAACCTTCCAGAAATGCCATGAATTCTGGATCTTGATCGATTGTTCCAGCCCGGGCATCTGTACGACGTTTGAGACCTGCGGGGACTCTGCTGTATGGCGCAAATTCGACAGTGGGCGGTCCAATAAGACAAAAATTTGTGTATGTATTTTTTGCATCTTCAAAACTAGACTTTCGCACGACGTCGGAGAATGGTAACAGATGGTCACTATTGGTCAAGTGAAGATATGCTCGAGAAGGACGGGATGGTTTGGAAGGGCTGCGTTTATTTGTAAGTAATGTCGGCGCATTCTTTGCGAAAGTACATACTCTTTAGAGTCTTTTCCCGGCTTGTATTGAAACCAATCAACCTTTCCTTGTCCTACTTTCCATTCGTCACCAAGCAATGAGCAGAATTCTGTCTCCGTCAATCCAGGAGCCAGTCTACGGACAATAAGTTTCATTTTTGAACTTGCTGGCTTGCAAGCAGTTTGTTTGGAGGTATTTCCCGATGTCTGGGTAGTTGAAACAGAAAGAACACCATTGGTATTATTGCGAGATCCTGCGGTGGTAGCCATTCTGAATGGCAGTTGTAATAACAGATGAAACCTTGAGGTCGACTTTCTATCGGATTATTGCGCCAAATGATTTGGGGCGCGTGGAACCGAATGATTGATGTTCACGTTCCTTAATCTATACGAGCTTGCAAATTCATGAAAAGCACATTGATATAAAGAATTGCGACGGCCATCTATCAGAGAAATCGCCTGCTGGTTTGTTTGTATTGTGTTTGTGCAAGTAGGAAACAGCATTAGGTATTGTACTCGAATTATGTGACTGCTGATAAGGTTAGACGTGGGGCATCACTACTAAGGGAATGAATGTCCTTGGCGAGCTTGGGTCGGAAAGCCTTGCCACCGAGAATACGGTCACCATTCACATATTCTATGTCAACTTCTTCGGTTATACTACGATATCGGGCATAGCGCAACATGATTCCAAGTACACTCTCACATGAGGCAGTTGAAGAAGTATTTCATTAGGAGGATTACGAACAATCACATTAAGACGATTACGATAACTCCCAAGAAGCCGCCAATATCAGCTTTGAAGAGGGCGTTGAACAAACCAATTGCGACAACAATTGCAGAGTGATAATTGTTGGAAAAGCATCCATACCAACAAGATATACCTGCAAGCTCGAGACGATTTCAGAAAACCCGGCAGAACTCAGAGAGGATTTAGGAACGGACTCAACTCTCCTAAAGTCGAGAAATCTCAAGTCACAATACAATCCCACTTGTTCACGCATTCAAAAAGAAGCTCAAGACTTCGCCATCACCTTATCAGAATATACAACATGAGTCCCACAGTACCCCGCCCTGGAGCTGCGAAATTGAGACCTCGTTCCGGTCTGGAGGAGTGGCTAGCAGAGGCGAAACAATGCCATTATCTACCAGAATGGGCAATGAAACAACTTTGCGAGATGGTAAAGGAGTGCTTAATGGAAGGTAATGCCCTTCTGAATCATTGCTTTGTATCTTCTTGTACTGATCCTTCCCTCAACAGAGTCCAATATACAACCTGTCGCAACTCCTGTTACCATTTGTGGTGATATTCATGGACAATTTTACGATTTACTCGAACTCTTCCGTATCGCTGGTGGTATGCCGGGTGAGACAAATGTTCAAGCCCCCACCACTGTGATCAACACAGATGCGCTCGAACCGCCTACTGAGATTACAGATCCAAAATTGAAGAAGAAGATACGAAGTAGTGACAGTGGTGTGGAAAGCGCAAGTGGAGGAGATGATGATGACGATGATGAACCTCGAGGACGTCCACGTACTGCAGGTGGATCAAATCGCAGTGCGAGTTCTGGAGCAGATTCCGGGATTAATGTCAACAACAATCAAGTCTCTGGAAATGGGAACCAAAATTTTATCTTCTTAGGTGATTTCGTCGATAGAGGATATTTCAGTTTGGAAACTTTCACATTACTGATGTGCTTAAAAGCTACGTAAGTGAATCACTTTGTTTGGTCAGACCGATCTCTAACAATACCAGGTATCCTGATAAAATCACACTCGTTCGAGGAAATCACGAATCTCGTCAAATCACGCAAGTATATGGGTTCTACGAAGAATGTCAACAAAAATACGGCAATGCTTCAGTTTGGAAATCTTGCTGTCAAGTTTTCGACTTCCTCGTTCTTGCAGCAGTTGTTGATGGAGAAGTTCTCTGCGTTCACGGTGGTTTGAGTCCAGAAATTCGAACCGTTGATCAAATCAGAGTTGTTGCACGTGCTCAAGAAATTCCTCATGAGGGTGCTTTCTGTGATCTGGTATGGAGTGATCCTGAGGATGTTGATACTTGGGCCGTTTCTCCTCGTGGTGCTGGATGGCTATTTGGAGACAAGGTTGCCAATGAGTTTAATCATGTCAATGGGTTAAAACTTATTGCTCGTGCTCATCAACTTGTCAACGAAGGATACAAGGTATGCTATCTCACCTGCTCAGATGAGAATGGGAAATATGCTAACATTTTTCAGTATCATTTTGCACAAAAATCTGTCGTTACTGTCTGGTCAGCTCCCAACTACTGTTACCGTTGTGGTAACGTCGCTTCGATTATGAACGTTGGAGAGGATCTAAATCCTAAATTCAGCATTTTCAGTGCCGTACCAGAAGATCAACGTGCAGTTCCAGCTGGTCGGAGAGGCGCTGGGGACTACTTCCTTTAATTATACCACACGTTCTTTACTGTCGATACATTCTCCAATTTCAGGAGATGTATACTGGATATCCACTTGGGCGTTTGTTTTTTTAAAGGTCGGCATTTTATGAAGGCGTCTGTTTGGTCACATTACCCCTGTACAACATTAGTTGAATCTGGTTTCTGTCTTTTGTTTTTTAATCTGAATCGAGATGATGGGTTGGCTTGGCCTAATCTGGCGATTTGACACGGAATAGGTGTGGAATGAAAGGTATCTATGGATCTTAGACCTTATGAGTGATGAGTGATGAGAGATGGGTCAAGAAATACATGGCATGGTATATCAAGCGTAGCATATAGCATACAAGATGATGATACGAATTCGAATCGTTGCATTTTGAAATGATCATAGTCACAGCTTATATATCCACGTGTGAAATTACGAGAATAGATCAGTCCAGTTCATCGCCAAGCATGTAGAGTAAAGGGCTTCCAATTGAAAATCGAGGAAATTCGGGGACTTTTGATGTGTCTATGCGTGGTGCTAATACCTACCTACCCCGCACGACTGTGATTATTCTCACTTGGTGACTCAGGTTGATGAATAGATGATTGTGGAATTTTATTATTATTTATAAGATCGAGTTTTCTTTGTTACTTGGATGTTGAAATTGTTCTTACCTCTCTATCATTGGATTCTCTCTCTGGCTGGGTATATTCATTGTGTATATCTAGTACCCCTCATCTCACCTACATATAGGTATACATACATATATATACATATATATATCCCTTATCCCTCTGATCGAACCCTCGAATTTTCAAATATTCGATTACTCGTTTGTTGTTTCGATTTTTCTCTGTTTTGAAGAGTAAAAGGATAAAAGAAATGGGTAAATTCTATACATCTATCTCTCCGGAATTGGCGGAGTGGGCAATGGCTCAATCGGTGTTCTTTACGGGGTCGGCGCCGACGTTTGGGAGGCATGTTAATATTAGTCCGAAGGGGTTGCCGTGAGTGATTTTTTGGGTTTTTTGTTTGTTTGTTTGTTTGTTTGTTTGTTCTGGTTCCGCAGGGGGTGATGGGGGAGAGGAGGGATAGAGGGGGTGAGGGGGGGCTATGTGGAGGAGGAAAAAGGGGAGTGGGAAAGTAAAGATGAGAGGAAGGAGAGAAAAAGCAGTTACTGATGTTTGGTGATTAGCGATGCGACATTCAAGATCTTGGGACCGAATAGTTGTGCTTAGTGAGTTGTTGTTCCTTTTCCTGTTTGTTTGTTTCTTTCTTGTATTTTTCGATGTTGTTGGGGCTTGGGTGTGATGTGTTGATCAAGGACGTGTTGAAAGGAGATATGGGATGATAATTTGGAGTCTGTGTTAGGGAAGTGGAAGATGCGAATACTAGATGGCTGCCATCATGTGTGACTTTCGTCGTCAATTGATTTAGGTTATACACACGGTGGTTGTGCTTCCTTTTGCGGTCTGAGATTTGTATTGTAGTGTTTTGCTATTCGTCGATTTCATGTACCTTTGATATCATCACTGGTTCTATTGGGAGACTCCAAGTTTATGGACGATGAATCTAATACACTCTCAGTATTGATGCAACGGGTTCTGGCGTCGAGACTATCAGCCATATCTATGGTTCGTCCATCTATATTCCTTCCCTCCTCCTCTCTTCCGCCCATAAGAACCAACATTCTTACTTCTCCATCTCCACACTAACTTCCTCCAAAGAAAACAGTCGCGTAACAATAATGTTCTGTTCTTTCACTTCCACTCCCCGCATAATGCGATTTTTCTGCACAGGACATGTCGTCGAATGGAATACACCTGACTTCGCACCCCTATTGGCGAAAATGGGAAAGTCGAATGTGGATGGTGCGAGAGCTGTGATCTTATTGGATGTTTGGAAGGTATCTTTTCTTTTTCTTCCACCGATCCTCATGAATGCATTCTATGATTTAGCGCAGTAGGATTCTGCTTTGGACTTCAAGAGATAGAATGTTCGAGACATGGGAGACATCCAAAAGAAAGATTATTGACAAGAACATCAGGTCCAAACATCTTGCGGCTACGGCGTCCCCATCCTCACACCGCTTTCTGTTCAAATTGACAACCCTTCCGTTGGTCCCTGGACTGATCATAAGACTCTGGGCCACTGGGCTGGTCAAAAAGTAGAGAAAAATGAAATGCAGAATTACCAGTCGGCGTGGAATAGTTATTCACATGATGCGTTACCTGGATTGAAGAGTGCACGCAAACAGAAATTGGGGAATAGTGTTATGAGAGTCAAGGTTGATGAGGTAATGTTTTGGGGAAAGAGAATTGTGAAGGGAGAATGGAGAGGAGTGATCTTGGGGGTGTTCGTGGGATTCTTTATGGCGTTGCTAATGGGGGTTTGGGGCAAGGAGGGAGGACTTCAAAGTGTAGTAGGGAGGGTAACTGAGGTTAGAGAGATGATGGGGAATTTGACGGGGAGAAATCATTTAGAAGTTGAGCTCTGAGGGAAGAAAGTCGCTACACTTTCCTTTTTGTTGGTTTCGATGTTTTTCTGAAGCCCAAGTTGAAGGTCGTAAATATGATTAGATACTCTGGTGATCTTACACAAAGATGTAGCTCAAAAAGTTCGAATTCTATATCGATAGTAGACACAAGTCCATCCCGTCTGCCGGTACCCAAGATACAGATAGACAAGATATAACCTTCCACGCGTCACCAACCAACAATCTAATCTCCCCATCCCCTTGAAGCCTTACTTCATTCCTTCCATACCATCCCATCTCATCTTCCCCAGATCTCACAAACGGTATCTCATAAGCACACCGTCATTTCCCATTTTCCCTCCCTTCCCATTGCAATTTTAAAATTGTCCGGGGATGGTGGCGTTAGTCAAGCTTTTCCGCTAAGCATTGCTTATTCGTCTATTTGGAACATTTGCGTCTAGGATTTCGCGGATGTTTGTCCAATTTTTGATTCAGATAGAATTTTCGAATATTGATAGATTGGCGATGCTAGGCCTTATACTCGAGGACATCAACGCCCACGATGAGAAAGGGTGCCGAGTTTCTGATATTATCTGAATACGGTATCGCTATCAAGCTACACATCGATCAATCCCATCCAACTCGCAGCTCTCGTGTTTATCCCTGACAACGGTATCAGAAACAAACATGTCGAAAGATAACATCAGACTTCTTTGGTCCGGCTTGGAAAAGCAGAATCTTTATACGGGGTCTTTTGTCCAGGAGTTCATTTCATTAAATCCTAACTTTATTTTGACCCATCCGGTACGAGACGTGGGAGTGCTGCTTTGAAGACGTTCTCGTGTTCCATTGCTGTTCCTGGTATTGAGTGGAGGAGAGAAGTTCAGAGGGGTGATGTGAGGGAGGTGGACGGGCTGGACAGTTAATGCAGCAATGGTTGATCTACACTTAGTGATATTTGTTGATGGCTTGGCTATCGAAAACACGGATGATAGATAGAGCTTTTTGGTACGCATTGTGGGTGTCACTTTAACTTGGTATATTATGGTTATTTTGTTTAAATTTTAACGGGCAAACTCAATTTCTTATCGGGCATTGCATTGTTTGGTTTCGCAGTCTTGTGATGATTGTACATTTAATATCTTCATCTTGTTCACAGCAATTGTTTTCATCTCGACAGGGGAAAGAAATTGCCCTTCACCGGTGTTCCTTTCCCATATGGTTACCCCCTCGGATGTTCGTGCAAAGTATAGTAAATGTATGCGTAGTAAATGGGCAAGTGTAAAGTTCTAAGTCTGCCCTTTTAGTCAAAGATCCTCATTACATGCATGTAACCTTACGCATCAATAACACCAAAATTCATACATACGCCTTGATGCTGTCCGGATACCATCAGGAGACTTGTTCCTGACTGGTGGCTCAGGGTGGCTCACCCTAACTTCTCGTATTCCATATCACAACCCTTACACTTACACTTGGGGACCATGAAAAGTATGGATATCTTAATTGGGGTAGGATGTGGTTTGGGGTAAAGATCGGGTTTGATTTCGGTTTATATTGACTCTTCCTTGTGTTTTGATTTCTGTTGATTTTGAAATTGTTTACACTCTTTCTGTCTTGCGTCTGTGTTTTGAAAAAATAATTGAAGAGTTGGTGATTGTTTCGACATCTTTTGATTCATACATACATTCAGTCTCTCGTTCTGTCTGTATCGTACGCATTGCACTTGTATTTTGAGTAGTTTACTCTTATTCCATACCTCCATTCGTTACAGTCTTTTGTCCTCGGCTTTACACAACATCACGATGAAGTACTCACTTATTCCATTCGTTCCCCTTTTCGCGGGTTTATCTCAAGCAGCAAGCAGTGATGATTGGGCGGGGAGATCTATCTATCAGGTTATCACGGATAGATATCATCGATCCTCGGATTTAGATGCTCCATGTAATATCACAAATTATTGTGGAGGTACTTGGAATGGCATCACGGAGAATCTGGATTATATCCAGAACATGGGATTCACGGCCATTCAAATCAGTCCAGTCAATCTGAACATCAACAGTACGACGATTTATGGACAAGCTTTCCATGGATATTGGCAAACTGTAGGTTTTCTCTTGGCAGAGCTTCTCTCTGTTTGCATGCAATTGCCTTGCTATTGGGATAGCATAGAAAATTCTAACATCGATATTCTAGTCTCTCTACGATCTCAATCCAAACTTCGGCTCAGCAGATGACTTGTTGAAGCTCAGCGCAGAACTTCACAAGAGAAAAATGTACCTCCTCGTTGATGTCGTCGCTAGTGAGATGGCTGTTGACATTGGAGATCACAACATGACCGCAGGAACCAAGATCGATTATTCTGCTTTCTCCCCCGCTCCATTCAACGACGAAGCATCTTACAATTCCTACTGTCCAATTGTCGATTGGCAAAATGTCACAGAGTATCAAAATTGTTGGCTGGGATACACCGGAGTCGCAACTCCAGATATCAAAACAGAGAATAAAGACATTGCAGCTGCATTAGGAACATGGATCAAGGAGCTTGTCGCCAATTACTCTATCGATGGAATTCGAGTTGACGGTGCTAAACAAATCACATATGATTTCTTTCAAGATTTCGTCGATGCGGCGGGTGTTTATCCTTTGGGAGAAGTAGATGATGGTGATGCTGCTTTCACTTGCAAGTATCAACAGTATACTGAGGGATTGGAGAACTACCCAGTTTATTTCACAATCATTCAGGCCTTTACCGCTGGTAAGATGTCGGGCTTGGTCGATATGGTCAAGAGTGTGGGAGCTTTATGTAAATCCCCACAATATCTTGCCAATTTCATTGAGAATCAAGATCAACCACGTTTTGCATCTTACAATGATGATGAGACTGTAAGTTTCTTCCCCTCATCATCATCTCATACTGGTATACTAATATAAAACAGCTCGCCGCCAACGCAATGGCATTCACAATTCTCGCAGATGGTATCCCCAAGTACTACTATGGACAAGAACAACATCTCCAAGGCAACTATTCTCCATACAACCGTCAAGCTCTCTGGGAAAGTAAACCAAGCACAACTACTCCTCTCTACACCATGACAGCTACTCTCAACACCCTCCGTAACCACGCTATCTCCATCAACTCAAACTACATCACCAACTCATCCATTCTCCTCCACAGCGACGACTCCACATACGCTGCACGTAAAGGACCAAATGGTGTTCAAATCGTCTCGGTACTTTCCAACCAAGGTTCCAAAGGAGGAGCTTACACCATCGCCATCAACAGCGCTGCCGACGCTGGAACCAACATGACAGAAGTCATCACATGCACATCATACATTGCCAGTGAAAACGGAACTCTCTTTATCGAAATGGATAAAGGAGAACCAAGAGTCCTCTTCCCTACCTACCAAATGAATGGAACGGGCGTTTGTGGATTCGATGAAGATGCTAGTGCGGGTACAGCAACCAGCACGGCAACGGCAACAGGTAGCGCAGCTAGTGCGTCCAGCACGAAGAAGGGTGATGCGAGTGGATTGAGGGTTGTCGGGTGGGTGTTTATGGGTGCGATGGGTGCGTCGGCTTTGGCTTTTATGTAGGGGGTTAGATTTTGTGAGTGGGTTGTAGTTTGAGGGTGGGGGTGGGGGTGAAGGTGCTAAATGTTAGGTAGGTATCTATGTGATGAGCTTGATGTCTCATGTTTCATGTATGTGTGTGTGTATTTGATTCTAGCTTGATGTATTGCACGCATATATTTATGCATGTATGTTCGATGGGATTGATTAGATTGAATGATAGATATCATGACAATGGTTTTAGAAATGAAAGGTGGATTATGTGGAAAGAAGGAAAGAAAGAAGATTCAGATATAAAATTACATCAAACTCTCACTTACTTTATCAAATACAAATAATTAATTACTCATCTTTACGGGTTTACTTTGTGATATTGTATGTTATTCATTCCTGGATGGATGGATGAATGATTGAATGGATGAAGATACAGTTTTTCTGTAGATCTGTATACGATATGATGGAGAGGATGCTTGCTTGATTACTTGATTGCTTCCTACTTGTAATCTTAGGTTGATATATCCGTAAATTAACCGTTTGAATTTATAGGATTGCAATCTCGCATCTCACAAATAGCTTCCTTGTACACTCGATTAGAGATAAAATACTAAAGCTTAAAGTGAATTAATGAACAAATCTATAATCGCTAGGAATCATTCGAATATTCATTCCTGTGTTCTGTATATAGAGAAAAGCAGGGAGGGAAAAGAGAAGAGAAGAGAGAAGAGAGGGTTTGTTATATAGTTTAATATGATTTATTAGTATGTAGGTTATATAATCAAATCGGTTACTTTATTTTCTATATAAAATTCATTTGTGTATAACTGTATTCTTTCTTTATTAGCCGATAAAATTGCTCAAAAATTTCCTATATAAAACCTCATTTTTCAATTATTTCAAAAATTTTATTTATTATTAAAGTTATAAAAGAAAAAGAGCTTTTATAACACAAAGTATATTAATTTCGAGTTTAAATGAATTATTTAGAAAAAAGCCTAAATATTATAAATAATTCATTTTTATTATAATTTCTTATAATTTTTCTTTTGAAAATAATGATTAATTATTAAAATATAAATATTAAGAAAACCTTAATTATAATGTATTTTTAAAGTAACTCATATGATGATATAGTTCACAAACTAATGAACTACATCAGCTAATTATAAATGCTTATCTATCTATTTATCTATATAGATATGTTTAGCAAGTTAAGTTAAGGATATGTCTAAGAGTATTATATCATATCATATCATATCATATTCAATTATAGATGTCATTCTTGTAAGATTATCTAGTATGTTTCTAGTCCTAGTACTTTATTTTATCTCACAGAGATCTCGAGATCTTAATACTACCGTCGAACTATCCTTGATAAGACAAGATGAGATGAGATAAAAGGTACCTATGCTACGTAGGCTAGAGAAGGAAAGAAAAAAAAAAGGTCATGTCGTCAAACTTTCAGCGGAGTATTGAGTTATTCATTCTTCTTGCGCTTTCTTACCTAGTACTTTTTGCGATGATGGGATGTAAGATAATGGAATGTGATGGGATGGGATATGATTGAATGACCTGAGAACACGAGAATGAAAAAGGGAAAATGGAAGGAGTGTGAGTTTGTAACTTTGGTTGCATATCTGGATTCTGAAGTGGGAGGAACCTGGGCCAGCTGAAGTGGATTTTCTGAGTTTGGGGAATGGAGATGGGGATTGGGAGTTGTACGTACTTGATATGTGTGATGTTTTTCGATTGCGGTTGGTTGCAATTGATGGTCTGTCTTGAGGTTACTGCTGAGTAGGTATTTGGTTGTTGTGTGTTTGTTTGTTCGTCGCGGCCTCGGAGATGTATGGGGAATTGATTTATAGGTTAATCGCATTCTTCGTCTGAGGTTTAGAGAGGCGATGAGATGGTTTTCTTCTTCTTCTTCTTCTTGAATTTGCAGTCGGTTTGTTGAGTTTGTTTATTTGAATTTGGTGGGATGGTGGAAGGTGGAGAAATTGGAATTGGAATTAGAGAGTGGGGTGGTAGCAATGTTAGTTCTATTGTTCTCATTGTTGCGAAAAGGAATATGGGGATTTTCTTTCGATTGGGAGCTTCATGCTGTTGATTGGAGTCGTTCGATATCGAGTATTCTGTTAGGATATAGTGATTTGATTTACTGGAGATCAACTACGTTCAATGTTGGCGAGCTGCCATTCGTTTATTTGATTATGTAGTAGAGTCTGGGCAAAGTTGCATCTTACTTCTTGTTCTACATCCCATTTGTTTCTCAGTACCATTCTGGAGTCTGCACACTTTTGTGCTACCTCGAATGTTATAGTTTCTATTCCTAGATAGAAGTTACACAGGTCATGCTACTTGAGTATTCTGCGGCTTTCGATTGGCAGGATGAAGCTGCGGATTGATGAATCAGATGGGTGCATTTGCACCGAATATGCATTAGAGAGCTCTTTCATTTATTCTTACTATTCGATAAAACTTTCGTTCCAATGTCTTTTCTTTGGAATTCTCTTTGGAATTTACCCCGCACTCACCCCTCATTTATGTCTTTTATAGCACAATCTCATGTTCTAGCTATTGTTCTTACTTTCCTATGTAATATGTTTCTCAGCATAGAAACAGACCCGGCATTTTCTATCATTCGTGATTCTTTTCATCCTACAAATTAGGTTGAGTATTAACTCATAAATCATTTAAACCTCATAACAAATCATCAACATGACATCTCTCAAACCTCGCACCATCATAATCATCGGCGCCGGCCCCCTCATGTCCCGCAGTCTCTCTCTCTACCTCGCTTCTCACAACTGGCAAATCATTCTCATCTCTCGCAATCACTCCTCTCTCCTTTCTCTCGCCTCAGAAATCAATGATCTCAACCCCAAAGCACCTCAAGTCCTCGTCCACCCAGGCGATGCCAGTATCCCATCTTCTCTCCACAAAGCTCTAGATTGGGCTGCCGAACAAGTAGGTGGAAAAGTAGATGTCCTTTGCTATAATGCTGCACACGTGGCTCCGAGTCCTATTCTGGAATTGAAACCGGAAGTTTTAACACAAGATTTTAATATTACGGCCATGGGAACTTTGGTTGCTGGGTATGTTTATTTCACATATATGATTATATCAGAATTGGATTCTGGGAGGAGAAGCATTAATTACAACTCAATAGATAATGGTACATGAATCACGCCAACACTTCCCATATTCCCCAAGGCGAACATCCTCTTTTCCTTGTTCCTGGCGGTCTGCTCGATAAATACCCAGATCCCAATATCTCCGTTCTTTGCGCCACTAAAAGCGCAAGCCAATGTCTTGTTAAAATGTTCGAACAAGTTATGGTACCAAAGGGGATTCTAGTTGGTGCACCAATTGTTGGAGGCGAAGTAGTGAAGGAGGGGAAAATGTCTCCAGATCGTATTGTGGATGGGGTTTTTAGACCTTTTCTTGAGGAGAGAGAACGATATAAAGGAAATGAGGGAAAGTGGGTGTTGGAGAGAAGTTGGTTGCCAGAGGGGGGGTATGGAAGTACGAAGACTGGTGGGACTTCTGGGGATGGGAGTGGGAAGTAGGAGTTGTGCTAATGGATTGGTAGATGTTTGATAGGGGGAATTAAGATGGGATTGGATGGATGAGGGAGAGGAGAAAAGCGTGAGGTATGAGATTGTGAGTAGTGAGGTGGGTATGAATTATGACTGATATGATATTTCAATTTGAAGGTTTAGGGATGTTGATTGTGTTGTCACTAGCAATGAAGACGGATAGGGATCGGTCTCGCAAACAATTTGGAGATGGCACTTGGACTCGTTCTTCTTTACAATAATCTCCTCACTCGCGATTTCGAGAAAAGAGGTATTATTTAGGATGGATGGCTATAGGGCCAAAAAAAACTCATTTCATATTGGAAAGGACACAAGTATGGAGTTATAGGGTTTTCTTTTCAGGGCCTTGCCGGGTTGATATATTACTACAAAGTTAATGAACACATTTTTTGACATGCAAGATACCTGTCACCTCTTAGTATGTCCTTTAGAACTAATAACAATAAGGCTTAATAGATCCGATCTCTTCTTGGCATGGAGCTTGTCATTTGTCTTGGTGAAATTATCACTTTTACTACATGTTGTTGAAACGGAAATACTCGAGTGCTTGTTTACGCATTTATATGAAATTATATTTCTTGGTGAAATGAATCAGAAATTTTCAAAGACGTTTCCCTCCTGATTCCATCACATACTTCTTCCGAATCAAAACAATGAAATTAAAAGACCTCAACTAATAGCTATTACTTCAAAAGGTCTTTATCCCCTTACAATGCCAATATCAGCACAGAGTCACAATACTATCAAAAACGGAAAATCGGCAAGGAACCACTGTATGCAAGGGGAGCGGGAGCTCCAAGATTACCGTGTTCGGGCCGTCAAACGAGCTTGTAACTTTCCTCCACATGAAAAGCTTTTGAGTATTCGCAACTTTTTGAGAATGCCATACCACCATTGTGGTGGCTCTTGGGAATTTTGTTTCTCAATGGTTATCTTCTCATTAATGATGTTTGGTTTCTGGAAGGAAAGATCAATCATGAGAGTGACCACGCAGCCAAAAGATCAAAATGGATTCAAGATGAAACCCAATGACGAAAAACGCAACGTCTATATAGGTATCTAGTATCCATCAGACAAAAGCAAACAGAAATATCGGCTTCACTTACTTTCCAGATCAATACTTGGCATTGACGACATCCATCCGATAGATAATCCCTTCGAAGTTTGAACCAAGCAATACCCAAAGTTTCTTGAATCAGAGCGAAGCTTTCATTGATAATATATCATACTTGGCGATTCCTTGGTTGATGAAATCCAAAATGCTTGTTCTGGTGTTCATCCTTGATGTTTCATCATCTCCATTGGATTACTAACGTTGTTTCAGCATTCGACGTCTGGTGTCTGATCAACCACGGTTGGATTCTTCCTTGATATATATCGACATGATGAACGGAAAAGAATGGGATAGATGTCAAAACATGAGGTCAAGAATTCCATGTCGTTTCAGCGAATGAAAATCCTAGTGGATTTGTCGTTGGTTTGGACATCGAATTGCTGGTGAGGGATATACATGTATTGTTCTTGTGAAGAATGGGAAATATTCTTAGAGATCAAATGGGCATATGCTGATATTTATGCTGATCTTTAATTCTGGGAAGTTGGCACTACTTGCTGTTTGAAAAAGCCAAGAAGTGTGTTCATGTAAAGTTATCATAGTTGATCTAAGAAAAGAACTCTTCGATTCTCATATTTACTCGTCTTCCATTAATTTCAAAGCTTTCGTTCATGAATTTATATTTCTATTCTGTCTTATTTTGAGACACTGGCTCATTATCTCATACTTGAGTTTCTCCGTAGTCGCGATCCTAATTGATTCTACACTTCGACTCCAATAACACAATGAAGTTCGTTTGTTTACGAATCCTACGATAATTCCCCATACTCTCATTCCAGATAAGCCATCTATATGGGAGGATTCTCTCAGTCGAGATTGTTTCTCGGCGATGCTATATCGATTGCATCAACACCTTTACGGAATAGTTTCGAAATGAATTGTCGATCTCCTGCTACACCACGACGACCATATTCAAATAACAAAGATGGAGATAAAGGATTATATGACGATGTCGATCGATCGAGAGGAAGCCCAATATATGGTGAATCGAAATTTCTTCAAACACCGCGGAGTCATCTGTCGACACCAAACGGTCGGGAAAACATAAAATCAAAAGAATCCGATGATGAGGATGAAAATTTCGATTCATATTCAGGTACTAATTTAGTATCACCAGCCGAATCATCAACCTTTCTCTCACGAACTCCATTATACAATATAGATTCAAGCACGTCCGAAATCGCCGAACCCGGTACCTTTCCCACCATCAAGATGATAGTCGGCAAAACCGTCGGAGTAGGAATCTACTCAACACCCAGCTCGATTCTCCAATCTGTAGGAAGCGTAGGGGCCAGTATTGCATTATGGGTTATCGGATCTCTTATCTCCTTCTGCGGTCTTGCAGTATATCTTGACTTGGGGACCGCGCTACCACGATCCGGCGGCGAACGCATATATCTCGAGAGGATATTTCGACAACCGAAAATGTTGGCGACATGTGCGTTCATGAGTTATGTTGTGCTTCTCGGATTTTCACGCCCAATTGTATCGTTTTGGGAGAATATATAATGTATGCCCTTGAAATCGACGCCAATAGATGGAATGTCCGTAGTATTGCAGTAGCAGTCATTACACTCATATGTTTCATCCATGCTCGCTATTAACGAACCGGTCTCCGCATAATCAATATTCTAGGCGTGGGAAAAATGTTCTTCGTCCTCATCGTAATTCTCTCCGGACTTGCTGGTCTTCTCATGCGCATCGGATCATCTTCCTCCATCATTCCCCGTCGTCTCAATCTCCTCTCCCCAGAATACATCCCCGGTGCCCTACAACATCTCTCCACCGCCCAGAGAAACTTCTCCCACCTCTTTGCAAACTCCTCCACTCAATTCCACGACTACGCCACCGCGCTTCTCAAAATTCTCTACTGTTTCCGCGGCTACTCAACCGCAAACCAAGTTCTCTCCTCCATTCGAAATCCCATTCCTACTCTCCGTACCGCAGCCCCTATTGCGCTTTCTCTCGTCTTGGCAGCCTACATTCTCGCCAACATTGCATATTTCCTCGTCGTCGAACTCGACGATTTTCGTTCTGCGGGAGTAGTAGTTGCAGGACATTTCTTCCGAAACATTTTCGGCAAAGTAGTCGGCGAAAATGTGTTACCTGTCGCTGTGGTCGTATCAGCTTTTGGAAATATCGCCGCAACGAGTTTTGCACAGGCGAGAGTTAATCAGGAACTGGGACGAGATAGACTTCTACCTTTTTCTAAGTTTTTCTCGGGAAAAGAAGGGGAAACCCCGATTCCGGGATTATTTCTTCGTTGGTTTGTCAGTGTTTTGGTTATTGTCGTGCCTCCACCGGGAGAAACATATGACTTCCTCGTGGATATTGGTGGACATCCTGTTTCGATCATCTCGGTTGCGATTAGTGGGGGGTTGTTGTATTTGCAACTTACCCCAGCTGAGAATTATCAACCGCCTTTTAAGGCAAAGAAAGTTTATATTGTGGTTTTTATGCTGAGTAATTGTTTGCTGTTGATTTTACCATGGATTAAACCGGCGGAGGAGAAGGGAGATGAAAGGTTTCCTTGTTATGCGGATCCGGTGACTGCTTTGGCGATATTGAGGAGTGGGGTGGTTTATTGGGGATATTGGAGAATGAGGGGGATATGGATGAGAGGGGGTGAGGGGGGTATAGAGAGGGTTTGATGGGGGGGAGAGGACATGTGGGGATAGGGAGAGAGGGGGTGAAAAAAGTGGAGAAAGATGATTGGAGGGAGGGAAAGAAGGATGATGGTGTGGATAAGAGTATGAGAGAGAAGTTGGAGATCAAGGAGAGTGAGAATGCGACGGGTTCGGGTTGTGCGTGTAATTGCGCGTGTACGACGAAGAGGAATGTGGTTAAGCCTGGGGATAGTGAAGAGGCTTGAGCTGGTGATGAATGCTTTGGCTTTGACGGGTTGGAGGAATTCATGGAAAGAATTTTCTTAAGATTGGGGGTAAGGGATATACATAGCATCGGCGTTTTATTATGCAGATAATACAGAAGGACATGGAGTGGAGCAAGGAACATACCACAAACTTAATCTTACGATCTTATATTCTAAAGCTTATATCTACATAACCCATCTAGATGATGCAGTATGAATCATAATATTTAATTTTCTGTTATCCGTATTCACCCATCATACCAGGCAGCTCTTCCCTGCAAGTATCACTAGCTACCCAGATAGTTAGCCATATGAACTTCTCAGCCCAACTTTCCAAATCCAGACAGTGTGCTACAGGAGAGAATAAAAATGACCTGCAAGGACATGGCAAATCTTTGTTTTTCATTTCAGCGAATTTCGGAGTTTCCGATTTTTGTTGTTTTCGTGACTCGATACGAGTTCGATATATTATATTCTTTGTGGACTTATGGTTTTTATCGTTGTCGTTGTGTTGTTGTCGAAATTCTAAAATTGATTATGCGTTATTGTGAAGATCTTATTGACAATCTTTACTGTTCTATCATGATCGATCTCTTCATTGTTGTATTTTACGCTCACTGGCATCCAGATTATAAGATCTTACATTCGTATCTTATCATCTTTCCTTGAAATGAAAGAATGAGGAATCAAGGTCTCACGCCCAGCACTATTAATATGTTATCTGTAACTCTTAGAAGAAAAAGAAAGAGAGTACACAGACCCGTCGAGATCTTCTGCTCTGCGGAAGTATGGTTTGATGTGTTGGTGGTGTGAGAAGAGGTGCTTTTATATTTGTTAATGGTAATTGGTTGCGTAAGAGGGGATAGCAAGTGATGGGGATGGGGAGATGGACAAGAAATAAGATAGGTCAAGTTACTGATTTTGAACATTCAATACTATATTCCAGGGATTTGTATAGTTGGGGTATATAAAGATCTACTTTCTACCACTTGAGGAAGATAAAGATAAAAGTATAAAGAAATTACCAAATGTGAGGCGAGACGGCTGCTTGGCGTGAGAGACATTAGTAACGAAGATATTATCGGATTCTCTTTGCCTTGGAGATTTGTTTGGTACTTAGATGGAAATTGATTTTTTGTTATATTGATTTTCGTTGTCTTGTTGTCATCCACCCCTCCCCCCACTGAAGTTCGCTAAGCCATCAGAAAATAGAGGAAATGAAAAATGTGAAATGAAATGACAGCGATGATTATCTCACATTTGATACTTAAGAATCTCCTTCAAACCTATCGATATAGGAGTTAGTAAGCTTTCCCAAAGTCTGAATTTATTAGACTGGGAATTCCATGGATCGATTGATGGAGTTTCGGTGCTGCGCAGTTGGGTATCTCGTGTCTGTTTTATGAGTGTTTATATACAAGGCTAGGCAGGATGAATGAACAGTAAGGACTAGGTAGGCATGATTACTTTTGGATGGCGGGTGAGTAAATTTACGAAGACTCGCTGTACATTGACTTTACTCGGAGAGATCGTAGGGATTGGGAGTTTGCATTTACTCCTCACTTCGCGCCCCTTATTTATACTTCCACTTACATGTAATCTTACAAAGCCACATTGAGAAGTCTGCACGCAGCATTAATAGCACCATTCATTTGTATAAAAGCCTCAACGTATTGTAAAGAGATTCTGGCTTATCAAATACCAATCGGGAGACACAAGAGACCATGTCGTGTCATAGGACGCACTTGCTCAAGGAAGTATTTTGATTGATTTCATCAGAGTCAGTGACGTCTTTAATTTATAAAGAAAGCATATGTCAACCGTTTCATGTCATTTTAGCGCGAAAAACCCTGTGCTATTTGTCCTTATATGCTGTGGAGCTTTATTGATTTCTGCCTCAAGATTACTTAGATGATTGTATATCCAAGGTTCTGTCTCTAGATCTAAAATTCAGTCTCCCTTGTACTCCGAATTCGAGTGCGGGGTAGTTTGTGAATGTCTTTTGTAAAGATATTAGGCTGCGCACAAATTATCTGTACTCGTGAATTATCTGTTGAGGCTTTAAAATTACTTGCTTTGTATAGATAATCTATAGATTATTTGTAAATAATTTATTTATTTATAAATAGATAGATTATCTACGAATATATAGGTTATTTGTGAATAATCTATGGATATATAAATTCTTTAAAAAAAGTGAAGAATCTCTGTTTTTTTTGCTTAAAATATGAAGCTATTCCTAGATTATTTTCCAGCCCAAAAGTGATCCAAGTTTAAATTTATATTAATTTTTAAATTAATTATAAAATTATATTAATATTATAAAAGATTATGAATAATTATATAACATATAAGTAAATAAATATTTGTGAGTAATTTATATCTGTTCTATAGGTTACCTATTCAGATTCTGAATTATTTGCTTTGTAAACGGATTATCTGTGGATTATCTATCAAGGCCATTATCCGCCCTGCGGGTACTCGTTGTATAGCCTAAAAGATACCTACTCAACCTTATTGTCTTCTGACTCTACAAGTGTTGAGTATTAAGTGCATAACATAATACTCTCCCGTGAATCTTTTTAGTTTAAAATCTAGCATCTCGCTTGCAGGTTTCTCTCAAAACGAGTAAAAACATGAAGAATATGAAAACTATAACTTGTCAATAGTTGGGAGCACAAGAGAAACACCAAAGGAAACCGACCATGGGCTGGATCTGTGACTCAAGGGAGTTGAGTGCTGCGTAATCGGCTTTAATGATATTAGAAAGGTAATTTGAGGCAGCTAGCAGAGAATCGATCCATGTAAGATGGGAAGCAATAAGAAAGAGATGATTGTTGTTGGATTCAATTAGTGTTGTAGTTTGAAGAGTAATTGATATCATTTGTTGAACACCAGGTGAGAATGTCGTCTCTGAGTCTTTTGACGGTCTGATTTAATCGGAATACTTGAAAATCATGCAAGTCTGGCGGGAACTCGACACAGATCAATCGCTTACATTATCTGACAAATCTTCACGCCATATCTTTTGCTTCTACAGAGTTCAGGTGTCTAATCATCTTTGACAAGGTCAGAAGGGGCCTATAAATATATAATGGACTTCAAGATAACATGGGGAATGAATGACGGACCTTGGAACTTCTCACATTCTTTGGATACTAAAATGAGGCTTCTCATTAGCTACGATCATTAGATGGTTAGATCCACTAATAAGTTCAGGGCACAGCTTTGGCGTAATATGAGGCTTGAAATACCTCCCATGGATATAAAAGTTTCCAGTCCTTCAAACAGGATTCTTCGTACTCCCCACCTCGTGCTGTATTCTCCACCAACATGGGCCAATCTCTGTGATTTTGAGAGATGGAGACTCCTCGGTCTTTCTATATATGTGTCTCAAAAGTCTTAAATCTAATCGTTCTTTGGATCCCTAGGTATTATTAAGTGTACTCGTCCATGAACGTTGTCAAAATACTCTTTTACTATCGATTTGACAAGGTTTATCGGAGTCTGTTCAATATGAATAATGAAATTGGAGAGATTCCATGTAATTATGTCAACATCCACGCAATTCCAACAGTTTTGTGGAAAAATTCATATGTAAAGATCCCTTCTTGGCCTTTGGCTTAAACCGTCTCAAGCTGTCAGTGATAATGGAAAGCAAGCTTTTCTATTCTTTTCATATCCGTATCTTGGGACTTCTAGAACCTGCTGAACTTCTGAGTCAAAATTGCTCTTGATTTCTGGGTGAATCAGTAATCAACTGACTAGAAAACTTCTTCTCGAAAGAGATAGCTTGATCTCAAATTAGCGGAACTGTAATTCAGTCTTTCAAGAATATGAGTGAATGTCTTCGAGAATATCGCAGTGAGCACATCCTATGATCTTTTTAATGGTTTAAATACCATGCCTAAAATCATCTGAGTTGATCCTTCAGTTTCATCTTTTTATGACAAACATTCGGCTTCAGGTGCTCTGCTTGCTTTTGGCGATATTGCGACTGAAAACATGACCTCTTCCTGGGTTGAGATTTCTGATTCTTGTATTAAGATAGATCTGTACTTGAACAGTAATCTTCTTGTTAGGATGAATTGAATTGTTTGTTTTCATTGTTTCTATCTTATTTTTGTTGTCGGCGGCATGATTTTTGTCACTTCAAGTTCACTGTATCTTGATTCCAGTGGCCGGAGGTTTCATTTCTTTATGAGAGGAACACAGTGATAGGCTCAGTGGGTAGGATTATAAGCGAGATTCGACATAGTTACTGCATGATCCTTGAACTCTACTTCTTTTGTTGTTCTTAGGATTGAGAATCTCATGATTCTTATACCTGCCGATAATCAAAATTGACCTGAGGTCGGTTGCAAAAATGACTGACGGGAGAGAAACTAAGTCTAATATGGTTATACCGAGGTTCTTTGTTGTAGTATAACTGTATAAATAAGAGTGCTTATTCAAAGGTTCAATGGCGAATATCAGAAATCGACACAAGGATACAATGAGGGCATTAGAGGGGGAGGAGGTTAAAGTTGTTTGCGATGATAATCATCTCGTATTGACTTACCATTCCCACAGTATGTCAATCATGAGCGACGCAAATATTCATTTCTTGACTTTTATTTGTTGCATTTGTCATCTATATAAGTCATTGTTGCTCATATCTAGCACCATCGCTGTCCCGTACATACTATCTTGTCGATATGTATGACCAAACATGACGCAATTGAGGGGAATTTTCCTTAATGATACGAAAAAAGCTTTAATGGCACAAGCTCTTCTGTCTTGAAAACTACCAGCACCTTTTGCCAAGCTTGTGAGATAGAAATTGTGGCTGCGGTTATAATTAGTAGTCAATTCCCTCTCTTATATAGTAACTACAAAGAGGTAATCAGAAATCATTCTGCACGAAGTGCTTAATTTAAGCGAAACCATGTGACATCGGTTTCTTCAGTTCAGGGGTTGAAATTATTTGGGTGTATAAATGGGTTAGATCGGAAGATGCT